TTTTTTTTTTTTTTTTTTTTTTTTTTTTTTTTTTTTTTTTTTTTTTTTTTTTTTTTTTTTTTTCTTCTTAAATTGGAGAGTACTATTAAAAAAAATAATAAATGTATTAATTTATATTAAAGCAAGTTCTCTGTGAAAGAGAATTTAATTTTGAGAGGATTCAGCATGATAATTTCGGCGTCGATCAGCGAGAGGGATTCAGCATGATAATTTCGGCGTCGATCATGGATAGATTTGAGTATCGATCATTCCGAGATTTGAGTTGTTAATCGATCATTCCGGCGGCGTATGGATAGGTTGGAGTCATCCTCTCCAATCGAAACTGTTCATAAAATCAGTAAAATCGTGATTTTCTCCGAATATCTGTTTATAATTTTTTTTGAGTGATTTCTCTAACTACCTGTTTATAAAATCAGAACCAAATCTTTGGATTTCTCTTCTCCCAACTTAATCGCGTAGTCGGTTTCAGTATTCTTTGTATTTATATTCGTCGTTGTTTCTCCTTCAGCTCTCATCTTCTTCTCGACTATCGTTCTCTTCTGAAGCCATGGAGTCTATTCTTGTGATTAAGGTTGGAATTCTCGTCTTTGTATAGTTTCATTTTTCGTTGTGTTTTGCCTTCATGTTTATTATTAAGGGCAAACGATTTTCCACTGGTTTTTTGTTTGTTCGTGATCACTATGAGTTTCTGCTTCCTGTGTGCTACAAAATTGTTCACAATCGATTCATTAGTTGGATTATGTTATTACTTTTACCTTTTTAATTCTGTGTTTTATGACAAAACTAAGGAAACTATGTGCTATGGCTTGACTCTATAGTCCTATTTACGATAGGAGTAGTTGACAATTGAATCCAACTTTGCCAATTATTTTCATTTTTGTATCTAGTGCTGAAAAAAAAAAAGGCCCAAATCCAAGTTGTTCAAGAATATGGAAAGAATTAGGCGAAGAGGGACGTAATGAATGAGATTTTTGGAATTATTGGAATTAGCTAAGCAATTTATTTGAACAAATATAGAAACCGAATAGATGGTTTTATGTCTATTACATGTTCTTCCTCTCGAGTTGAGACCGATCATTCAGATAGATCGGGGTAAACTAATGAGCTCAGATATTAATGAACTCTATAGAAGAGTTATCTAATCGGAACTCATTACCTATTTTTCAAGACTTCTTCCCCTGACATATTTTTCACACAGGTTAAATATGGAGTGATGCTAAGGCGTCTCAGTGTTAGAATCCTCGAAAACAATAAGCTGGATCTTGACATCAATGGATTAAGAGCAAAAGTACTTAGTCTCTTCAATTTCTCCTCTGATACTGATTTTACACTGACTTACATTGATGAAGATGGTGATACAGTGACCTTGTTCAATGATGATGATCTACATGACATGATGAGGCAACAGCTGAGGTTTCTGAGAATTGATGTTCATCCTAACCAATCCCATGATAGATCCGATGGAAGCTCAACCACGCCATTGCGTTCGTTTCAAGATATTTGTACTGATATTTCTGAGGTTGTGAAATCTCTGCCAGAGCCCTTACCGGAGATTTGTTCACAGTTGCTCAACATCGCTTCAAAAGCCTTAGTTACTGGCCCTGCACTTGATGAGCTTGTTCAAACCATTCTTCAGTTGAAAGACGCGCACCTGAACTCAGATTCGCAGCCCTCATACGTTCCCGAGACAGTTGTGGCCACTGAGAGTTCTGATGCTCCTCCTGGTTTAGATGCAACTGCTTCAGTTGATCATAATGCCCTTCCTCGTGATCCTATTTGGAAATCAGATACTACTGCCCATTGCAGGAGCTGTTCCTTTGATGCATTTCATGATCCCCTTCGTAGAATGCGTATGAACGGTCCTACGTCGATGCACAATTACCCATATCATTCACCAGCAGCAGGTTATCTGAATGATAATCTTATGAAGGAGAGGCCTATGAGAGGATTACCCATGGTTTCTGGACCAATTAGCCATAGTGGTTACTTCCAAACTATGGGAAAAGTCTTCCCTGGAGGTCCAATGAATTACAGCAGTGGCAGCAGCATTGAATCAATGGGAAGTATGTTCCATAAAGGTATTATTTGTGATGGCTGTGGAGCTCATCCAATCACCGGTCCACGGTTCAAGTCCCAAGTGTAAGAATAGAACACAAACTCATCCCCCAACTAATCTACTTTTTGCCCCCATTGTTGTCTTGTGTTCTTATTTACCAACTTGTTTGCACTTTCTCTACAGGAAAGATAATTTTGATCTATGTAGCATCTGCTTTGCTAAAGTGAGCAATGTGGCTGAATACGTTAGGATCGATCGTCCCGTCTCTTGTCAGTATCCAAGAATGAAAGCATTCAATCCTGTTCTTATGCAGCAGCAGCAGCATCCATTTCCTGGCCCCCGAACAATCGATACACTGAAAAGTTCTGGAAAGCAGACCAAATTTTTAGCTGATATGGATGATTCTGTGATCGCCCCATCTACGCTGTTTACCAAGAAATGGCAGTTGCATAACCTCGGGAGTTCGAATTGGCCCCGTGGTACACAGCTAGTGTGGGATGAAGGAGACAAGTTAAGTGATTCAACATCATTTGAGATACAGGTAGAAAACGGTGACTGTATATTCTTCTTCTCTTCATTTTCTAAGCTTTTTCTCACATCCTCGTTCATGTTAGGTACCTGCTGGTGGACTTCCTCCGGGACATCAAATTGATATTGAAGTTGACTTTACTTCCCCTCCATTATCTGGTCGGTACCTCTCATACTGGAAGGTAGTATCTCCATCTGGCCAGGAATTCGGGTATCGCGTTTGGCTTCTCATACAGGTATGCTTGTATGCATATCTCAGTTTTTCTAGTTCTGTATATACGCACTTACGTAGACTCAATTTACGTTGTTCGTTCATGAAGGTTGATGCAGCTCTTAAGAGGCCACATTCTGATAATCTCCAAGCTTTGGACTTAAATTTGCCCCCTAAAGTTGTAGACTCAAATGGCCAAGAAGATCTAAACAAGGATTTGGATACTCTACTTTCTGATAAGCTTTTCCCTCCTCGTGATTCCATCCCCATTGCCAAACCAGTAAAACCTTGTCATAATCTGCCTAAAACTGTGATCGAGCAACAACATGATATGATCGACGAGTTGCTAGTTCGCAAGAGTTCTGCTAATGGCCAAGATCTAAACAAGAATTTGGGTACTCTACTTTCTGATAAGTTTTTCCCTCCTCGTGATTCCATCCCCATTGCCAAACCAGTAAAACCCTGTCATAATCTGCCTGAAAATGCAATCGAGCAACAACAGGACGAACAGGAGATCGACAAGTTGCTAGCTAGCAAGATTCCTGCTAATTTGGTCTCTTATCCAACTGTTGATTACCATGGAGTTCGAGCTAGTTCAACAACCAAGGCTCCCTCTGTGTCATACCCTCATATTGATTCTTCTGAACTAATTCCACCTGCTGCAAACCTATCTCCAAGACCATCCCCCATGGCTTCACATTCTCCAGCATTATCTGAAGATATCAGTTTTGATCATCATATCCAAGGACCTCTACTTAAGGCACTCTGTGAAATGGGATTCAAACATATCTATCTGAACAAGGAAGTACTGAAGAGGAATGGGTACAATCTGGAGAAGTCAGTGGATGAACTCTGTGAGATTCCTGAATGGTATCCGATGATTCAGGAGTTGGATAAAATGGTTGGTCGTGAGTCGTTTTAATGAAGTTGCTAATCCTTGATTTCTTGGGTGTTGGTTTATGATGGTGTGGATCTGGTGTTTACAGGGATTCAAGGATAAGGAAATGAACAGAAAACTCCTGATGAAGAACAATGGCAGCTTGAAGCGAGTAGTGATGGAACTTTTGATGAAGAACAATGCTTAGTTGAAGAACAACGCTCTCATAACTATGGATCAGGATGTAAATATGGATGATAAATAAGAGGGGTAGTGATTTTGTTAGGAACAGGATTGTTTTTATGCTTATTTCTATGGTTGTTCTTGGGCCTTTTTCTGTTTTTGTTCATCTTCGTGTCGTAGTTGCTCAGAAATTTGAGCCGTTTTTGTAGCAGAGAAATTATCAAGTAAAAGAAACCTTGAAACCGGCCATAAATTTCTTTGATTACTCGAAATCAAAACGCATTACCTCTCCCAATCACTCGAAATGATAAGAAATCGAACTCATCTGTTCCTCAGGGTCAGCTAGTTCAAATTGAATCTCCCGCCGTCGCCGTCGAGCACCAGCCACCTCTCCAGCCTCTTCGACACCGTCACGATCTCATACGAGTCCCACAGCGACTGCGCGAAGTTCCATCGCAGGTCGCCGCTTCCGCACCGCCTCGTTCTTGAACCGAGATGGATTGTTTCTGCAATTCCGGCGATGGGCGGCGAATTCAGTTGCCGGTTTTGAACTGCCGGTGTGGCTCTGCCAGGCCTGCGCCACCGCCTTGAGGATTTCGAGGTAACGATCGCCGTCTTCAATCTCTGGTTTGTTCTTCATGAATTGAGGAATGGAATGGGCCACGTTCCATCTTGCGTACTTGGACTGTGGACCATAATCAGCCACCATTATTTAACCCAAACAAATAAATACAAAATTGATAACTGGTTCTAATAGAAATTTGTTCTTCGTTATAGCTGTTTTTGTTGCACAAATGACCGCATTTTTTCTTCCATCTTGGAAATGACAAAAGCTTTGTTCTTCATTTATCATCCTCTCTCTCCCGAAACCCTATTGTCTCACGACGTTCTAAACCCAGCTCACGTACCGTTTTAATGAGCGAACAACCCAACCCTTGGAACATACTACAGCCCCAGATGGCTAAGAGCTAACATTGAGGTGTCATTCCCGTTGATGTGAGCTCTTTGAGAAGATTACCCTTCCACTCGTCATTGTCGGATCACTAAGGCTGACTTTTGTCCCTGCTCGACGGGTGGGTTTTGCAGTCAAGCTCCACCCTCGAGAGCCAATCTCCTGGCCCGAGGAAACACCCTTCTAAAGAATGCTCTGTTCCCCTCTCCAACCGATGCGGGATCTCACAATCCACCCTCATTGCAGCTCAACGTCCTCGCTAGCACTCGTTCTTCTCTCCAACCAATGTGAGATCTCATTATCCACCCCCTTCAAAGCCTAGTGAACCTAGCATTCTCGTTGGCACACCGCTCGGTGTCCACCCCTTTTGAGGGTCAACATCCTCGTTGGCATACCACTCAGTGTCCACCTCCTTCGAAGCTCAACGTCCTCATTATCACACCATTGATGTGGGATGTCACATTATTTGTGCATTGCTTGTTCAGCTTAGGGAAGGACCCTGCTAGGAAGTATAGGTTAACAAATATTCTCGTCTTTTTACGCGTTCAAAGGATTGTTGTATTACATGGACCACCAAGGACTGGTAACACCTCTTTATGTAAACCACTGCCTCAAAAACTGTCAAAATTAGATATCTATCGAGGTTTGTTGATGATACCCATTGCTCCAATATTTGTTCCTTGTTATTAACACCTGGCTCTTATTATTCATTAGTTTCATTTTTCATCATATTCAAGAGATAACAGAGGAAGAAGACAAGCTGGTATTTGTTTTGGTCTGTCATACTTACTTTAGAAGGTTATTAATTTCATGCAATTATGTATTTGGCGGTTTGCAGATGAAGTGGAAAGCTTAGCTGCTGCTACAAAGGCTGCTTTGTCTGCTTGATTCCATTAGGTATAACAATTGTATAACAGATCCCACGTTGGTCGGAGAGGAAAATGGAACATTTCTTATAAAGGTGCAGAAACTTCTTTTTAATAGACGCATCTTAAAACCGTGAGACTGACGGTGATACGTAATAGGCTGAAGTGGACAATATCTACTAGTAGTGGAATTGGACGGTTACAAATGGTATCAAAGCCAGACACTAGGCGGTGTGTCAGCAAGGACGCTGAGCCCCCAAGGGGGTGGATTGTGAGATCCCATATCGGTTAGAGAGGGGAACAAAACATTCCTTATAAGAGGGTGGAAACCTCTTCCTAGAATACGGCCAAAATGGACAATATCTGCGAGGGGTGGGCTTGGACTTTTACAAATGGTATCAGAGCCAGACACTTAGTGGTGTGCCAGTGAGTACGTTGGGCTCCCAAGGGGGTGGATTGTGAGATCCCATATTGGTCGGAGAGGGGAATAAAGCATTTCTTATAAGGGTGTGGAAACCTCTTCCTAACAGACATGTTTTAAAACCGTGAGGCTGACGGCGATACATAATGACGGCGATACATAATGGGCCGTAGCGGACAATATCTACTAGTGGTGGGATTGGACAGTTACAAATGATATCAGAGCTAGACACCGAGGGGTGTGCCAGTGAGTACATTGGGCCTCTAAGGAGGGTGGATTGTGAGATCCACATCGATTGGAGAGGAGAATGAAACATTTCTTATAAAAGTGTATAGAAACCTCTCCCTAATTTTAAACCCGCGAGGCAGACGATGATACGTAACAGGTCAAAACAGACAATATCTAGTGGTACTGGGATTGGATTGTTACAAATGGTATCAAAGCTAGACACCGGACAGTGTACCAGCTAGGAGAATGAAACATTTCTTGTAAACGTGTAGAAACCTTTCCCTAATAAATGTGTTTTAAAACCGTGCGGCTGACGACGATACGTAACGAGGTGAAGCATACAATCTTAATCTTTCAATTCCCCACTCTTTTTCTTTTCTGACTTCCTATTGCCATTTTCTCCTTTGTAGGTTGGTCCACCAACTGTGCAAGCTGGTTTTCAAATTCTAAGGTCCTGCTTGCAAGAGCTTATATGTGCTGACATTTTGACAATTGCTGAGGTCCATACACATCTAATAATTGCACCTTTACCATTTTTGTTTTGGTTGCCTTGGATCCTTGTTGAACTAGAGTACATACACACTCATCATTCTCCCCATTTCTAAAATTCTTAGGGTCGTGACCGTGCTGGTGTAACAGCCCAAGCCCACCGCTAGTAGATATTGTCTTCCTTGATCTTTTTCTTTCGAGTTTCCTCTCAAGGTTTTTAAAACGCGTCTTCTAAGGAGAGGTTTCCACACCCTTATAAGGAATGTTTTGTTCCCCTCTCCAACTGATATGTGATCTCACAATCCCACCTCCCTTGAGGGCCTAGTATCTTCACTGGCACACCGCTCGGTGTATTGACTCTGATTCCATTTGTAACCACCCAAATCCACCGCTAGCAGATACTGTCCGTTTTGACCCGTTATGTATCATCGTCAGACTCACGGTTTTAGAATGCGTCTATTAGGAAGAGGCTTCTACACCCTTATAAGGAATGTTTGTTTCCCTCTCCGACCGATATGAGATCTCACAATCCACCCTTCTTGGGAGGCTAGTGTCCTAGCACACCATTCGCTGTCTGGCTCTGATACCATTTATAACAGCCCAAGCCCACCGCTAGCATATAGTGTTCGTTTTGGCCCGTTACGTATCGCCATCAACCTCACGGTTTTAAAACGTATTAGTTAGGAAGAGGTTTTCACATCCTTATAAAGAATGCGTTGTTCCCCTCTCAAACCAATATGGGATCTCACAATCCACCCTTCCTTGGGGGCTCAGTGTCCCCACTAGCACACCACTCGACATCTAGCTCTGATACCATTTGTAACAGCTCAAACCCACTGCTAGCAGATATTGTCCGTTTTAGCCCGTTACATATTACCTTCAACCTCACGGTTTTAAAACACATCTACTAGGAAGAGGTTTCCACAGCCTTGTAAAGAATGTTGTGTTCCCCTCCCCAACTCATATGGGATCTCATAATCCCCCATTGGGGGCTCAGTGTTCTCACTAGCACACCTCTCAGTGTCTGGCTCTGATACCATTTGTAACAGCTCAAACCCACGGCTAACAGATATTGTCTGCTTTGGCTCGTTACGTATCGCCATCAGCCTCACAGTTTTAAAAGCGTCTGTTAGGAAGAGGTTTCCCCACCCTTATAAGGAATACTTCATTCCCCTCTCCCATCGATATAAGATCTCACAATTCTTTAGCGGTTTTAGGCTTAAACGAGAGTGCTCAAGACAGGAAGAGAGTTAATATCAGCTATCCATTACAAATAACGTTAACGGGGCTCCTTTGAAACTGATGCAGATTCCCCTGTTGTCTTCTAGCATTCCCACTGTCTCAATAACTCAAACCCCCACGAAATCAGCTTCTAATATGGACAAAGAAACATATGAAAATGATATCATTAAACCTTTGTCCATGTTTTAAAGCATAGGTTACTATCTATGATCAGTTAAATACATAGAACATTAGCAGCTAACTTGCAAGAAAAAAAGCAGAAAAGAGTCGGCCTACATGCCAGAACATGTGAAAGGAGAGCCCTACAAACATTGGCACAACCGACCAAAAGGGCAAAGAAAGAGGACCAAAACATTTAAACTCCATAGATAAAGACCCTTTTTTGAAGGGTCATCTTTAACAGAAACCCCAGCTTTGAGGCATCATGCTTTGCCTGTGAAAACGTGCCCTTCCACTGTGCACTAAAGGGAAACATGCATGCGGGAATATAAAGATCTCAGAGCCTCCACTCTGTGCTTCTTCCCATGGCAGCTTCATATAATATCAACGCTTCTGGTTCTCTCCTTCTTAGAGCATGGCTGCAACATCACCGTTAACAAATATTGTCCGTTTTGGCTCGGCGACGAAGGCAATGCCCTTGTTCATTGCTGCTATGGAGAATTCAAACAGGGTTTTCTTGCAGTCTTTTGAAATGGGTAGCTGTGTTTTTGAGGTTGGAAAGCTTAGACGATGTTCTTGTAAGCTAAGTGTTATAAGCTAGTAGGAAGAGGATCTCATCCTTTGCAAGGGGAATCCAGCATCCTGGTCCGATTCAATCTATATATATATAGATATATATATATATATATAGCTATGTGATTTGCAAGTGTTCTTTCTTTTATATCAGATATATATCTTACTGTATTGAGTGTAATTTCTCTGCATCTGCAGCTGATTGATGTAATAAAAGTTTCTTCTTGTTCTTAATCCAATAGGGTTCGATCGATTAAAGCTTATATTCTCGATCAAAAGGTTAGTCGTTTGAACCGTTCGTGATTTGAATATTT